AAACAATTTTTTAAAAAAATAAAAGAAAAGTAAAATAATATAATTTTTTACATATAAATATTTATAATTTTGGTTTATATATATATAAAAATAATTTTTTAATTATATTATTAAGCGGGACGGAGACGGGGCCGGGTATAGGGCCGGGAGCGGGGTGGGTATTAACATCCCCGCCCCCGCCCCCGATTTTATCAATCGGGGAAAACCCGAACCCGATAAACACGGGTTTTCCTCATCTAAATCAGGGCGGGTTCGGGCAGATACCCACGTGGCAGATTAGATTGGCATGCCTACTCACAACCTCAATTCTACGCCAACAACCCCAAACCCCTACTCCCAGGTCAGTTTTATTGCACCCCTCTTCAAATGCATTTCAAAATCCTAACTTTCATCATGTTTGAGCTTTGAAAACACACTGTTTTTGGGTCTGTGAAATCTGTGACAAAATTTAATTTTTTCTGATGAATCAGGAAAACTAGCTTGTCTTTCTCTGAAACCGGACAAGGGTGTTCCACTCTTTAAGGATACGTTTGATGGGTCTTCTGAAATTTCAAGTTTGCTGCATTGCTCAAAGTGTAAGGTATGATGGAGAGTCACGGCATTCTTTCCGCTGTGCGCTTTGGTCTATGTACTTGTTAGTTTTTACTGTGAATGTGTACATTAATTGTCAAATATGGAAGTTTTTGAAATAATTGTGTTGTTAAATGTTTAAGATTTATGATCTCTTGTTTGGAAAAATCTACAACAGTGGATACTGTTTTGTGCACTAAATTTTTCTTCTTCTTTTTTTTGTCACTTCTGTATATTGGGATAATGCTTCTGACTCTACATTTTCTTAAGTTTTAGTTTCTATTCTCTTTTGACATCTTTCCCTTGAACTTCTGATTGAAATTGTTTGCCTTCTCAGGAAGATATGCACCAAAGGTTCCCGTCACTGATATTTGTGGCTAGCAACATTTTGATGTTCTCCATGCCTAATACAGCTTTGGCTGAAACGTGTGAAACTGATAACTCTGTTTTCAATATGCCTGTACTGCTGGAAGTAGCTCTCATTGGAGCATATTTTTATGCAAATGATAGCATATTTGTTGTTACATATTACAAGATATTCCTTCTTTTATTTGTTGCCTTAGTTCATATGTTATATGATAAAGGACTGGTATATTAATACTGCTGAAAGATAATTTTGCACAACTAGAAATCTTAAAATACATCAGTTTTTTTTAGGATAAGCTACATGAAACTTAGAGGTAAAGAGATTTAACCATGTGTGAAGCATGAATACCTCTTGAAAGCTCATTGTGTGTACCTGTTGTCTTCAAGGTTTCTCGTATATTATAAAATACGGGACCTTTTATTTATCACAAAGGGACACTGATCATATATGCAGAAACATTTTTAATCAAAAAAAGAAGAAAGAAGAGGGAGACGTTAGAAAGCAAAGGAGTAAGGATCCTCCTTAAAGAAGAAAAAACAGGAAAGAAGTTAAGGGGAAAATAATTTATTTCTGAGTGACAGAAATATGTGTTGGTAGAAACTTTAGAGAAAATAAAAGTGAAAAAAAATAAAGGCAGCTAATGTCCTCGAATATCACAAGTTTTAATAACTTATGCTTCTACTAGAGTGTAGTAGAGGTGTTTCCTATGTACTCTTATAGATAAGTGATATACTTTCATTTTCCTGAATTCATTGATCGTATGACAGGGTTGCTTGCTCGGGAAAGAAGAAACGAATTACAGCAAGTAAACGAGCAATTAATCCAAATCAACACAGCTTTAAGGAAGCAGGCAAAAATTGAGTTGTTGCCCCTAGCTTGAGTTATGCTCCCACTGGTAGTGGTAGGATACCTGATAATGAAATTATTGTTGACCCAAAGAAGCAGGAGCTAATTGCTAAATTGAAAAATGGGAAGAACTTTCTAAGGAATCAACAGCCAGATAAAGCATTCACAGAGTTTAAGAATGCACTTGAGCTTGCCCAAAATATGAAGGATCCTATTGAAGAGAAAAAAGCTGCTAGAGGTCTAGGTTTGTCGTCTGTCCTACTTTGCTTATTTATCTATGTTTTCTGATCGGCTCTAACAGAATTACTTTGTGTTCTTTTTGTGTGTGTTAAATGAGTGAAGGGTTTTAGAAGTTTCTCCAATTGAAATATTGGTGCATGATATTACAGGAGCTTCACTGCAAAGACAGGGGAAGTACCGAGATGCGATTAAATATCATTTGATGGTGCTGGCCATCTCAGAAAGAGAAGGAGAGGACTCGGAATACAGAAGCTTTTGGGGCAATTGCTGATTGCTACACGGAGCTTGGAGAGCTTGAGAAAGCAGGGCAATTCTATGACAAGTATATTGCAAGATTGGAAAAGGATTAATTGTGACATGTTTAACATTTCTTGAAACAAATAACCAGTGTTGGACTACTAGACTTTCCTCATTGCTTCTTACCTTCGGATTTTTCACGCTCTCATGTGGAACTTCAGATCATTCAGCTCCTATTAATTTTTTGGCTGCAAATGCTTAAATTGAATTTTAGAGGCTACACCAAAATATGTTTCAAGATTGTGAAATATTAGTCCTTGAGGTAGTCAGTAAGGGTGATATTTATGTTTATCAGCATCCACATTTCTATTATGCTTTACTTATACACTAGTATAGTTTACCCGTGCTACGCAGCGCCATTACCAAAGCATTAAAAAATTACCATCTCTTAATTACTTCATATTTTGCTTTAACTTCTCCAGTTAAATTTTTTTTAGCGATGGTATTTTCAAGAAAGTTTTTAATTTACTATTCATTTAATATATTCTTATTTTTATTTCTGAACTGAACTTTATTTGTTAAAAAACATTTATCAATTAAAAATAATTTTATTTTACGATATAAATTATATGATTAAATTTTTATTTATTATAAAATATAATTAAAATACAACACATGGATAATTATCATATATATATATATCTACTCACA